GCATATTCCAATGTAAATGTATATAAACCTCTAAAATCACTAACACATTATTTTGATCTGTTATTTTATCTGGCCTAACGCATATATACGAACTCAAACTTACACGTACTTGTAGTAACTCACACGATAGTTCTATCATACATCTTAATTTCACAAATTTTGATATTTACTGTCCTGTTAAGTTTAACATTGTCTTTTAATCGCAAACACAGACACTATTTTGTATCCATGTTTGCTGGGGGGGAGCTATTATAGCAACTCAGATACAATTGAGTTTGTTTACATCTAATCCAGTTAAGCCCTTTTGTTAACTTATTTAATGGACAGTCATTCATACAATAACAACCCATCTATACCATTGTACTTTTATTATATACGCTTGAACATTGCTTACTGCCTACGCATATATTCATTCCGCTAGCATTATTATTAATCGCTTATTTGATCCGATGATTCATGGTTTTCCACTTATATATATATGTACATCTTAATCCTGTTTACTGCTCTTGCCCTGCTTGCTCTCTGCTCTGCTCTGTATTACGCTACACCGTATTGTATATGCTTACTCATTCCTCCGGCTCTACGGCACTGCTTTTTCATGCTTGTTTGACGTACCTGTAATATTGGATAACTGTGTGTGCTTCAGTAATAAACACGATCAACTCTTCGTATTCGTCTTCTGATTTATACATCGTTAGGACGTAGTCGAGTAACGGTTATCAAGACGAACAATATACGAAGCTTAAGGATAGTACCGAATATCGACCACCACACTGCAAGAGAAGGAAATATGAAACAGCTATATGATACAATGACCAGTCAGGAACAAAGAAGGAAAGACAATCACGGAAATTCATGAACAGTGGAATAGATGGGCAGAATACTTCGAGGAACTGCCGAATAGACCAGCTCCATTGAACCCATCAGACATCGATACAACACACACAGACCTTCCTATAGATGTCACTCCACCAACAATCGAAGAAATCAAGATGGCCATCAGAAAAATGAAGTGCGGGAAAGCGGCAGGACCTGACAATATACCAGCTGAAGCACTGAAATCAAACATTGAAGTAACTGCAAACATGCAAACATGAAAAGGCGTTTGACAGTGTAGACAGGTGAACATTATAGAAACTTCTTCAACACTATAGAGTCCCTGAGAAGATTGTCAACATGATTTGGAACTCATACGATGGACTACAGTGAGAATCTTAAATACGAACATCAAGGCAGTTAGTTCTATTGTGCGTAGCTGAAACGTGTAGAACTAATACATCCATCGTCAAGAAGGTACAAGTAATTATAAACAGTTGTCTACGCAAAATACTCAACATTCATTGGCCGGATGCCATCAGCAACAGTCTACTGTGGGAGAGAACAAATCCGCTCTAAGCTAAAGAAGAAGTTAGGAAAAGACTTTGGAGGTGGATAGAATATACATTGAGGAAATCACCAAACTGCATCACGAGGCAATACCTAACTTTCAATCCTGAAGGTAAGCGGAAAAGAGGAAGGCCAAAGAACACATTACGCCGGGAAATAGAAACAGATATGAAAAGGATGATTGTTAACTGGGAAGAACTAGATAGGATTGCCCAGGACAGGGCTAGATGGAGAATGCTGGTGTGCGGCATATGTTCATCCACGAGGGGTAACAGGCGTAAGGAAATAAGTGAGTAAGTAAGAATAAATTTCAAAAGCATGGTGACATTAGAAATATGAATACGAATGCAAAAAAATACTAACTAATTGATGCGTCCTGTAGATTAAACGCTATATTCGGATCCTAAGCTAATTTCGTAACCCCAAGCTAGAACTACACAGCGACTTGAACACGAGAGAAAAAGCACAAATATACGGGAAGCACTTTACTCCAAAGGTTCATTCTTGTACAGAAAACAAAGGGTTTTTTATAGTATTTTAAAAGTCTTTGGGTTTCACTCAAAATTCTAAAATACTGCTAAACATAGTAGCAGTGTATCAATCAGCCAATCAGAATCTCTATATGTGACTTTTCATTTTCACTATGTTTCTAACAAAACTTCTAATCAAACGCTGATTGGATAAAATGCTCCTTAATGTTTCCTGAGCTTTTCATGTTGATTGCGAGAAATTTGCATGATCATCCAAACACTGATTCTCTTCATGAGTTGAAACATAAAACAATAATTACTTCAAATATTCATGATTCTCATAAACCGACGAAATTGATTAGCTGATCTGTTCTCTCGTTACACTAGAAAACAGATTTCTCTAGACAAAAGTTGAGAGAATTGACAAATATCCTTGATGACACATTGATTATCATCGAAGTGAGCAATAAAAGTGAACTCCAGGACAATTCACAGTATAAGTTCAGCAACCGGTTTTACAAGTGAAAATGAACTGGTCGACGAGTTATAGTTTGGCGGAGTTTTGTCGAGAAACTGGGTCTATCAGAACAAGAGTGTATAGAGGAAGTTTATCTTCATGTCAGTACACACTTTCATTCATGTTCTTATCCATTCGTATATATTCTACTAATTAAAATGTACCACTGTCAAGGTTCTCTAAAAAAATATGTGCATCCGGTGAACAGAAAGGTAGTACAACAGACCTTGAGTAGGAAACCTTTCTTCCTATAGAAACAATTCTACCGAAATGCATTTGGAGATTCTTTCGAATTCACTCAGTATTTCGTCTATTTCATTTGAACATACATAATGGTCTGCATATAATAATTTAAACTGCTCTCATCATTGGCATGTAAATGATACAGAAAGGTGAATAACATCATGGACAACCGTAAGCTGATATCACTTTGTTTCGGTTCATCTTGACATTGAATATTTTAGACAGCAAATATTTAAATACTTGTTATATGTTAACGTGTTGGTAATGTGAATAATACATCATTATTACACATTTTACCGAACAAATTGATGGTCCTCTGAAGCAACTCAGGCTACGTAATACGATCAATCTTAAGCGCCTTGTGCTAATCCTTACTTGACTATTATTTGTGTCCATATTCTGGATTTTGTGGGAGTTTTACCTCATGTTTCTAAACGTGACTGATACAGCCTTTACATCTGAACACACTTACTGTGAATTCTGTCTTCTTAGAGGTTTGCTCGGGTTGTCATATATTCTACTTGGAACTAAAAATGATTGCAGGAGCGTTTCCTACGGAGGAGAATGACTATGACAAAAGCATGTATAAGCATTGGACGAAGTCGCTGATGTCGTGATTTTCGACAAATTCATACTAACTTCGATGATGATCTGATATCAGTTTGGAAATCAACAAATATGTATGTGTAGTATGAAATTTGTCTATCCAGTCTGTTGCTCTAGACTAATCTTCGCATCACACTAGAATAATTGAATAAATTTATAACAATATCTTAGTAGAAGACTCTTAGAAACATAGGCGTTGTTATGTTTGCTTACGTTGTCTGTACTTATTTGTCTAATTCATTTTGTGTTTCGTTTAATTCTACCTATTAATGTTTAGCAAACAATACGTTCTCAGCAATTTCTACGTCCATGTTGTGGCGCAGTTTATCATGTAATTTTGCAAAATATTTGCACATACACGTAACAGTTATTGTGTTTGTCATTACCATATGTGTCCATATTCGTTTGTTCTTAGTTCCTTTTTTGCTTCTTGGTAAACTGTTATCAAGATTAAATACAGCTCAAAGCTGTCATTTGCACGGCGAGACTAAAGAACATGGACGAGCCAATCAGAAGCTTTCGCGGGTTTTCAAGGTCACGGCGCTAAGTTCGGTACCTGATGCTTACGTACGGTCGGTTTACAAAGGATTTTAGAGAAAACATGATAATTAAGCGTCTACAAGATAAGTTATCATAAGATTTTGGCGCAAAATTCAATTATATATTTGGATTGAATTGTGGCATTATAGCTGATGTCAGTTCGTGATGAAAACCCTAAGTAAAATTCATAACCTTAACCATGAACTGTAAATCATAATTTGAATTCTTCACACGGGTTTATAACCCTCATTTAGTCTTACTTATTACGTTGAAACTCTCAGATTCACTCTAGCGTCGCTCGAATGTCGTCCATAATTTATAGTCTCATCTTTAACCCTAAACCGTAACCCTAAACCTTAACCCTAATCTTAAACCCTGAACCATACCAACATACCGACAACACTGAAACTATGTGGTCGAGGCTGAAAGAATTTTCTGGACTTTATCATGGTTCCAGAGGTCGACTACTATGGAGCCACAGGGATGAGTTCCTGTGCCGGATGCATTATGATTTTAGAACTTCTGAACCTATATCTGACCTTGATAAGTTTTTGATTCGTGTAAAAGAACAGTATCCCCTTTAATTTTTGAGTTTTGTATAATATATTTTTGTTGTATGCTAGCTGTCTTCTGATTGGTCAATATTTCTCAAGGTCATTTAAGATTCGTTCAAAGGTCGTCCATGTTCTTTAGTCTCGCCATTTGCACTAAGGTATGTCATACTTATTCTTTGTTAATAATGCAGGATGCCATTTTTCAGACTTACAGATGCTCTAAGACTCATTGATATCTCATGAGTTGAGTCTTGTAACTAATTTATGTCTCTTCCTCAATAATGGACCACTTTCTCGATAAACCGCTGTTTTATGAACTTCGGTTTCGCATGTTACTCAATCGTATAACTAGACACTTCGATAGATTTGACAGAGGTACTACTATCAAATGCAATAGTTTGTGATGCGTCATTCAGAACACAACAAAAGGAAACTATTTTGATCAATATTGTTTGTTAGCAAACAGTATATTTTGCAAATAGATTTTCTGATATATTTGGGCAAATTTATACAAATAGACAGAAACAAGTCGGTTTTTGTTTAAGTATTGTATTTGTTTCATCAATAATCGTAGACTAAGCTACAATATTTATGACCAATCTACATTCTTTTGGAACAGTGAAGAAAATACACATACATTTATTCCTTTTCAATCATACTGTTAATTGCTAACTTTTGATGGTCTTACCACAATTTACATTTCTTCACAGGATTCATTGGTGAACCAATTGGACAGTTATAAGCTTTAGCAAATTCTTCAGTATTTGACAAAGCACCTATCACCCTGAAAGATTATGAAGAGATAAATCAACACGATATGTTTGTGAATAATATGACTATTCGACCTGGAATATAGGTTGTGCAATGATTACGCACTTAAATATCCTGTGTCCAGTCCTTAACATCAAATAAATATCCACTAATTAGTGGTCTTGTTTTTAAAAATGTAAGTATTTCAGTGCGTTCTAGGGTCTTCAAGTTGGACAATCCGTGATCAAATACAACACAATGGCAATATCGAAGCAATTCGCATGGAATGAGCACATTCCAATAAGAGACTGATCAATTGCCGTCCCAAACATCAATGGAAAGATGCGACCAAGTAACACGAGAAAGAACTAATAGCTCTATTCATTATGTCAAGTTTTGTTGTCGTGACGAATTCTCTGGATCAGTTGTAGAATGTCACTTATTTTCAGTGTTGGGAGTTGTACTATAACTATCTTTTTTTAAATCCGATATGTCGGTATACACATCTCTCGTTTTACCAGGCGTTGATATGGTGCAGAAGATAACGACAAGTGCAGAGTTTCAGTTTGAGATTTCACTCATATTGAATCGCTCTATTTTGTAAGTAAACCATAAACCGTATAAGTATTCACAGTTGATATATATATGATTATTCGATTTAAACATATCTAAAACAACAAGGTTCATTACAACAATCGAACATTTAAAAAACAGTTAGGTCAAATGTTATAACGCGTAGCCAACTACATTGACGGGTTGGACAATGATTTTCAAGTATATCGATTTGTGTAAATGATCAGAGACGTTATTTCTGTGTCCGAAATTACTGACATGTTTCATGAAATGTTATGGTAATTGAGATTGATTTACTTTCTGATTGATTATAACAGAGTGCATAACTTATGTCAGTGTTATTAACCATCAGTTTTATTCCTATTTTACTTTTGATATTTATAATAATACTTGACTTCCGAAAACAACCATTAGAATCATACTTGGTATATACATAAATTCAACATTGCTTTAACCATTGATGTTATTATTTGGAATCAATTGCATCATAAGCATTTGCTTTCATACAAATTATAACATTAAACAGTCATTAAACATGCCTGAAAAGTTTTAAAGCTTACCTATATCGAGGTACAATGTGATCAACGTGATTTTTGTGGTAGGAACGTGAATCCTTGTGTACACGGCCACATAAAGTCTATATATTTTGATTAAACATAGAATTCAAAATACCATGTTACCATTGATCGCGTTTTACATTACCATATTATGATAGATATTATATTTGCTATCATCCACATTGCTAGTTATATAATCAACTAAGCATCAATGGTAAAATGATAGATAAACTATTGGTTGTATTATTTGCTTCGATAATCAGTGACTTGCTTGAGGCACATATGAATGAGAGTATGTAAGAGATTGACATATTTTAAACGACAGAAAACACTTTTGCTTCTGCCACCAACGAAGAACCATTACACTTTACAATTATAACGATTTTAAAGTATACGCGAAATGGGATACCATTTGAACCAAGTATTCTGAGTGAATACTATTAATTAATCATCCTTTGATTAATTTGATTACCTTATTTACTCACTAACTGAAAAAGCCGTTGAAATGAAGTGGTGAAACGTTTGAAATTCTAATTTCCATTCATCAGTTCATCACAAATACATCATGATTTCATCATTACAAGCTTGTACTGTCTTCTTCCTATTAAATTTGAATAGTTTTAGATTTTTCATACACTAATCACTTGTAAAACCTCATTTATGCATGAGAATTTTAATAATTTTCAACTCGGATGCTGCACACAAATAAGAGAACATATTTACTAACTAACCTGTGCAAATTTCAGGAAAAATAATCGATCGAAAGCTAAGATTTCGCTTGTATTTTGAACACGTTGTCTATTTTGCAATTTCCGGTATGTCTGAAAAGTGGTTGGAACGGCCACATAAAATATTAATCATTCATAACTAATGCATTGACAATACCATACTGACAGACAATGAGTGCTAACATTAATTTCAGTTATAATTTGGTACAATTAGATTTCATTAACCTACTTGTGTTTATCTAGAATTTCGCTCGAATAACTATCTAACTTATCGTTATCAAATAATCAATTACTGGTGGATTGTCTAACAATTTAGACTTCAGGTGAACAGAAATAAATGTGTAAATGAGGGAGGCGATTTCCAACGTTGAATAGCATCCGACATTATTAGCTTCGAGACTGGTTTTCAGAGTTGTAATTGGAAGCCTGACTCGTGAAGTTGAGCAGGTTTGAAGTAAGGTGATCACAGAATGATGATATTGCATCACTATCATACAAAGTCATAAACTGACTGGATTTGAGAATCGGTCTGTTACCCAACATTTCCAATGGTCATTGGAGAAAACGGATGAATGGATTTCAGATTTCAAAAGGAAACGTTAAGAATCATTCAATTTATGTTTTTGAAACTAGTAACTCGTGATCACATGTGTGCTTCGGTACTGTTCATACTATGAACTGATATTCCAATCTACTCATCTGGATGTAGATGTAAATGTTAATTTTTACAGTCACACTATCGAATATTATTTATTGTAGAGTGATACTACATAGTCATATGATATTTATATTTTATTTATTCACATACATTGTACATTATTTTCAATCCTCCATTGTCAGCCAAAATTTCATTACGCGTCCCAATTCTATCGCTCTAAATCAGTTGAATTTGGAGAAAAAGAGGAATATTTATCAAGGTTTGTGACGAATTAAACTGATCATTTTGTTTTATTCTATTTACTACAACGGATGAGACCACTCGGATTATCATGGATTCACTGGACTCATAAACTGGTTGTTAAAATGTGAAAACAACTATTCTGCTAGAACTATCCACAATTTCATTGTTGGATGATCGAACAGATTGCTTCAATAACAGCAATGGATTTGTACAAACAATAAATGAATCGGTATCAAATATCACAATATTTAATACTTATTTCAACCTCAAAGCAGCATGGATTGAATTGTGGATTAGGCAGTTCTCACTCTACTCAATACTCACCTACAATGTTGATTTTTATTTCAGTCAATTAATTTACACTTAATATAAATGATTTCGTGTAGACAAGTTAATTATTCTGCAGCCACAAGCTATTTTCATCCACAAACGATAACTTTGCAACTCTCACTACTGTCATTGTCTCAGTCACTTTTATCTGGAAAGCTCTCCAGCATTAGCGACTTATAATATCTGAAAATTGTGAACTATAATATCACTTATCTGCATTGAATAGCATTTGAATTTTCAGTATCCTGAAACTTGTATTCCCCTGAATGTATTCGTAATAGTGCTTAACAAGCGCCAACAAAACATGGAGATTTCTAATTTATTTCAGATGCTTGTAAATATTAACATGGTTTCGATGAGTCTGTTCCGTGACATATACATACGTATCACCATGCTCAATCATGACTATTGTGATCGATATTCCAGACTAGTTATGGTTGGACGAAGTTAGGTAACATGCGAATTTTCCTTTGTGTGTTACGAACCTGATAATATTGACTTCGTCGAACAAAATGTACAACATTGAAATGATTTCCTCAAGTAATCATTTCGTTAGAAAGGAGGTAATGTATTTTGAGAACTCTGGGTAGAACTTCAACTGAATGCTTAGAATATTGAGTGAAGGTGGAGGAATTTGGAATTTCCCTGAAATAAACTTCCACAAATATTTCCCCAAACTCAATCGTCCTTTCTAAAATTAGTGTTTGTCGCTAAGTAATAATGTGAACCGTTTATGTAAATGGTAATTATCGGTATACAGATCCACTGTTTTGAAACACTTACCTTCTCAAACGAATCAGGATGTCTTTTGTAATGAGATCGTAGACAATCTGTTTGCTTCATATTTGCAATCATTCCTGCATGAGAAGCTCTACCTAGTCGTTGATTCCCGTTGAAATCTTCGAGAACACCTTGTATTTATACAGAAATAAATGAATAGATTCAAATCTGATTGAAAACTAAATTGTGTTACATTCCATTTTTATTTACAATGTGTTATTAAATGATATTAGAAAAGTTGATTATTTGTGGGAATTTAATCCCGTTCTTATAGAGCTATTAATTGATTGAACCTGCATTATCGTACTATTAGTAGTGCAATTATTCGTCATTCAAAGTTAAAAATCTACACTCAATGATAGTGTTCTCTATGTTCTGACATCTCTGAGCGACAGTTTGTGTGAACTGGTAAATCGACTTTATTATAAGTATACAACGAATGAGGTTCTAGTTAATATTCGATACACGAACTTATGTTAGATGTACACATTTGTTAAAAATATTTTGGTTGTCTGTCGAAACATACAAGCATAGTTAAATATATCCTTGTCTGTTCTTAAAGTGCGTTTCACCTCATTGTTTCAACATAACACTGAACCGTAATCATCTAATCTAAGCTTCGGGAACTCAGTCAATAAACATGGTAAAATAAGGAAATAATGTAAACTATTTGAAATAGATTATATGGCTACCGAACCACTTAAGTATGGTAAGTGAACTAATCAGCTTGCAAAAACACAAACTCATGCTGTTCAATGAAAACGGCGATAATGATGTATTGTTCTTAATACTTCGTAGTTGAATTGCTGACGCAATCAAATTTAATGTGTCCTTTAAAATAAGAGATCAGTCCGATTAGAGTATATGGTGAGAGTGTTGAAAAATAATCAAGATGAATCGAGGTGAAATTATTTCATTGATCAAAATATGAAACAGGATAATTGCTCGTGCGCATACTACAAAACAAACTACTCTCAATCAAACTACCTATAATATCTATAGCATGCATAAATTCGTGGGCTATAATCCAACCCAATCCAATGTATCTGGTTGGTGAATCTTCATACTTTTCATAAAATGGTGGTTGCATCAATCCGGCGTAAATGTATATGCGGTTTAAATTAGCCAAATAGTAGGCCTCAGGTAAATAAGTTGGCGAATCACGTAGTGACCTATTTTTTCAAAAATGAATGCAAACATCACGTAATAAATATTGTAGCATCAAACCTCAATATTTCTAAACACGTGAGTAAAGCTCAACCACAACACTGAAATCTCAAGTAGTCATGACAATTAGCAACTGTAAACTACGGTTGAAATGTCCTACTTTAGTGCATATAGTGTTATATGCTTGTGGTCTTATTACTACCGACTGGCCCTTTAAGGTACCACTCAGCAATGAAGAATACCCAATGACTGATACAAGCTACCACTTGACTAGTTTCCAAATATGATCCATTGCGTGCCTTCAGATATCTGGTAGTTTGTTTCACTAAAACGTACTTTTACTATCTCTTTTGCTTTACAATGGTGTTAGCAAGAATATGTGGACTCTACATTGATCCACCTCGAATAACAGAGATATTTTCATTTCGTTCTATAATGATTCCTTAATCTTCATTATTTCAGAACTATAACGCAAGTGAATTTCATATAATGAAATAGCACGTCGACTAAAGACAACATGCTTAACACAGTATTGAAATTTGGTTAACAAGTGAATGTTAGTTAGCTAAAATTATTTTAGACATAAATATTCAGACAATGGCAGAATGGGCCATTTTGTCAGCTTTTAACTATGTATCAATGACTGCATTAAATACGTTTGATAGATATGAATGTGGTCAGTTTGAAGTGGGGTTTCCCAACTAACATTCTTAATGCAATCTACACTGTTAATCACTAATTGGTAATCTATGTTTCTAAGTTATTTGTTTTTGAATGTTTTCCCACTACATTGTTATCATTTGATTCGTTTGACCAAAGAAAATCACTTATTTTCGTTGACTAACTAGCCGTTTTTACTCACATAGTATTCTATGAGTGAAGTTTTGTGGTTGTCATCAAAATTATTGGATCGTCATGTTCAGTCATCATTCGTTATGCATCGGTGTTTTACTCACATGATGATGAAACGATTGAGTTCACATTACTCAATAGTGTTATAATGTGTAGGTCGAACGTGTGCATATTTACAAGTGGACATTTTGTTTTCATGAGACAGCAGTATTTCATTACAATTCACTGAATATTCCCTGTGAGATATTAAAAAGGCAAGGAGAGCGAAGAAATTCTCCTTTTTCGTTAGTTCTTTATCAGATCTGAACACTAACAAACATGTTTCACAAATGAGTGAACAGTCAATACTGATTAGACGATGATGAGTCATTCAACCAATATAATAGTGACTTAGATACACAACGTTTACAAGTAGTTACATAAGAGTGGGAACAGCAATTGAAATATAATTGTTTTCTGCTAACAGTGAGAGTAATGGTAAATAATTAGTAGGATGAGTCCAGAGGAAATTATATAAAATGATTACCAAACAGGTTACGTAAGTTCAGGATCAAGAATTAAAATTTCAACAAAACCGATGTTCAGAAAGTTTCAAAAGAAGAGAAAGAAAGGTTTTCAAACATGTAGTATTATTTAAGTAGAAGGTCAGGGTAGATACAAAAGATGGGTAAACGATTTCCGGGTACAGAGGGTGGAAATTTTGCTGTGAGTAAGAGTCGAATTCTCGAAACAGGTTAAATCAGGTGGGATTTTATAAATAATTCTGAACACCGAACATTTATCTACATGGTGAATGAGTGAGGAAAATACTGATTGGTTGTTCACCAAGACAGACTAGTAGATGGTCTGACAACTATTAGATGTGTTTTGTGTTTTTCTATCCGATTTCTAATTGTCGGTGTTGAGGTGTAAAGCGAGTGTTATTTCATTATGTGGAGACCAGTGTAGACTAGATGCGTCAATGTAGCTATTCTCATTGATTTATGGCCAAAATATAAAGAAAGTTGGAAACTATACTGAATTGAATAGAAAAATAATGGCTTACGTTTTGCCAGCTTTTTTAATGCTTCTTCTTAATTTCTCTGAATATATGGTTTTCTGTGCGTAATACTCATTTAACACATGATCTTCGGCATTTATAGGATACTGAAATTCAAGGGTTCAAATGATGATGAATTTAGGTAGGAAATATCAAATGAACTGAGTGAAAAACTTGGTTTATCGAAAGTTATTTAAATTTAGACTAGTGTAATTCATCTTGAGAAAGATATGATAGCATGTACATGGATGTGTTTAATATTAATTTGATTGCCATCACCAACTGATGTCATCTAGAAAGTCATTGAACCATGGGACCATATCTACAATCTAACAATGAGCTCTCGTTTCCGGTGTGCACGTGGAAAGTTGTAAACATACTGTAGTGAACAGAACACGACTGGGGGACAGTCGAATGTATTTAAGCAAACATTACAGACTATCTCAGTAAATTCTGATAACCAAACAATGAACAGTCAATTTGCAAAATAACAACCAATTGTTTCAATATTCACTGTTTCTTCTCTAATTCCATTGCTCATGCATTTTCCAAACGATTGCGCTTCATTTCAGTTCTTTGCTCATCGGTCTTCTGTGAAAATACATTCTATGTCTGACCCACACCATATACTACTTATATGGATATAAGTAGACCACACCACAATACGACAAACCATTTGTTGTGTTATGCATTATATCAAAGTAGTGTAAATCAGCTTAAAATGGGTTTCAGTATGAGAAAATTGTCAACATCTAGGTTTAACATGTACACAGTAAGATTAATAATTATCCTAATGAAAGAATTATTTCGTTGTCAACAAACTCACTCCGTATATCGCTGAAAGATCTTCTCTTCTTTCTGATCCACTCACATTCGAATAGAAGACGAAAACCTTGGTTTGATTGATCTATAACGTTTATTAAATTGTTAAATATGTCATACTGATTGAACATCACGCTAACCTTGTCCGTGACAAATTGCTTTGTATTGTTATCTAACAATGTGGCTTGTGTGACTGATTCAACTATGGTGCTTCTCACTTCTTCAACTAGTTGTTGAACCTTAAATTGAGAAATAGAAATTGTGTTGAGAATTGGGTCTCATCAGAGGGTATTCAATTTTTTCCATAAATATATTTTGATTTCAGTAAGCACTTATCGCAGTTAAGATTTACACTAGTCTGGCCATTCAACATCTAATACTTACCACTTACTTACGCATGTTAACCCTAATAATTTCCTCTTCATCTGGAAGCTGGTTTGTTCTTACTCACAATATGTTTTTGATGATGATATCCAGTCACCGGACATTGTATATCATGTGTAGACAATTATTTATAAATACTTGTACTATTCTGATGATGGTTGTGGTAAATCTCAACGTTTCGACTCCTCACAGTAGAACTGTCCTGACGTTTGTATTGAAGATCCTAACTGTGACGTTGGCCGACAGTTGTTTTGAGATCCATATGTTCTTCAATTGTAGAAATGTTGTCCTTGCTTTGCCAATTCATACCTTCACATCTGCATCAGGTACTCCTTGCTCATTCATAATGCTTCTCAGGCACGTGAAAGATTCCACCTATTCCAGAGCTTCTCAATAAAGTTTAATTAGGTTAGTGTTCTCTGTGTTGTAATTGAGAATCTTGCTTTGTCCCTATGTCTATAGAGGCCTAATGCTGCAGAGACTGCTTGTGCATTGGTTGGCTTCACCAGCATTTGTTGTTGTGTGCGGAATGGATGAACTAGTTGGTTGGCGAGGTTCAAATTGTTCAAGTGCATCCAAGCTGAATATTGTATCCCGTGCTTCCTCTTAGATGTGGAGGTCTTCGTAATCCAGTCGATCACCTGTAAGTCCCTAACACTGTGTTACTTTTAGGTGTGTTTTCGATGTGTTTCAAAATTGTATTTGTTCTTAGTTAAACTAACGTGTATACTCTCAACGAATAAACATCTGCTGAATGTGCATATGATTTAGTACCGTTCCTCAAACTGGCAAGTATTGATCTTAGCTTAGGAGGTAATTATGAGTAGAACAATCTCACGCAAATATGTGATCATGCAAAGTGTCAGGTGAATAACAGTAGCTGACGTTATGCAAAATGTTCACTATTCACACCATGAAATATCTGGTAGTATTATTAACCTGACTTCAGTTGAATGGTGCCTATTTAGTAATGCCTAGTTGTCTGACAATGGCTTCCGAAATCTCTCCCCTTTAGTTTGTGGTTACTGGTTTTAGTAATTACTTCAACTTGAGGACCTATGTTGAACATGTGCATGACTATCTGTATTGAACATGTACATGAGTGTCAGTATCGAACATCGATTTGTGTTGTTTGGTGTTGTTCAACTGAGTCAGAAATCATTGACTGAAATTTTAATGAATATAAGTTACAGAATATAGTGCAACACAGCTGGTCAGGTGTGGTTCGGTTGTACTTCTGTGTTCAATCTGAATTATTAAATTATAATTAACATTGATGGGACGACTATTTGACAAACTGAACGAACCTCATTTCTTTGGTTTTGAGTGATGTGAGAAGTCAGGAAGTGCTTTTCAAGTGTCCATGGAAATACGGTCTTCACTCGATTCATACAATAAGGTGAGAAGTATGTGGAATTCCCTATTCAAAACACAAAATATTGGGAAGCATTCTGTTAAGGAGATACATGACAAGTTGATCAATTTCGGAGTAATTTGTTTTAAAACAGTGCATATGATGTGTACGGTAATCAATTTGCTAACTGAATTAAATCATGTAACTATGTAGTGACCCATCATATAACTGAGGATATCGGTGCAACTTGGCTCATAATAAAGATTTAATGATATTATATTCTTTATCTATCATTCACCAAACTGGTGTATTTTATTGACAGTGTATAGAATCTTCATCTTAATTTAACTTAAAGGCACATCGGATTGAAGTGAGAACGCATGTCGTCTATTTGACCATCTACTAGAGAACTAATTATTGAGGATATTGTTAAAGCATGGCGCGCTCATTCGTGAACATGTATCAAACTGGAAATAAATGGTAAAGATGATGTTAGTAACTTTGATGAATGAATTTCAACGAAATAACAATAACTATATATTATTATTCAATTCACTTGGATTTGATTTGTTCACGAAATCATGAATTTCCCGATCTAGTAAACGACGATTTTGTTCCGCCATAAAATTCAAAACAGCCAGGTTGTAGAGTGCGCTTTGAAAAGATTATTAAAAATTGAAACAAAGCAAAACAATTATTGTTGTTTGACTACTTAACAAATGAGACTAGCATACTATATTGTCTACCACAAACTGTTGTAACAATCAATTTTATAAAAAGAACAACATAACTAAATTCACTTCTTTCAGTTTCATTCTCTATCATATCTCAACGCAATCAGAATTATTAGAAAGGGATGAGAGAATTTGTGGTTCAAATGAATGCTAATCGTTTGCGTAAAATTGTCTTATCTGGGAAATTTATTCGTGGAGATTTCATTGCCACTTTAATGAAAGTAAGGTTTTTCAATTCACTCCATAAGCACTGAATAATTCTCTTTCTGAGGAGTTCATATTTCATCTCATATCCTCACGGCTTTTGAAATGGAGGAACATTTATTTCAGTTAAACTGTCACTGTATACCAGGAAACAATGAACAGCTTGTTTAGTTTAGTATGGACTGGTGAGCATTGAAGACCAACGATCGAAACAAAAAAATCTAAATCTCGTCAAAGATTCACAACCATTAGAACAATTGTAATGATTCCTGATGAATCTCATTTCCAATGTACACTGATGAGGTGTCCGATACCATAACCAAACACTTGTCAAGTTTTCCATTTATTCAATGGTACCCCGAATGTGGACGATTCCTGACGAATACAAACTACAAATAAAATAATCTACGCAAAACCCCTTCCACTAATCTACATAGATGTATTTAAAACGCCACTTCAGAAACACATTGAACGGATTAACAGATAGTCCATTAAAAATAAAACCAGTGAAGTAAATCCTGCAAACAACTAAAACACTTAGAATGCTTTCTGATTCCTCAAACATATACAGACTTTATGCACTGTCTATAGAATGTTCATTATCGCTGGTCAAGTCACAAAGATATTTACATCAAATAAACTGAGATTCTCAAGGAAAATTAACTCATCCGTTACTGTTTGACACATCATGTATACCAAATAAAGCATGCTCTCAAAATATGACACATGTTGTTTTGTTTTCCACAATATGCACTAATGACGAAAACATTATCCTTGGAAATGTCAAATTAAAAAGAATCCAATGCTTTGTTTGTAAGTGATCACCCAGCATTGTCAAAATTGATCACTACTACTGTCTTTCGTTTACTTCGAATACAAATAATCAAATGAAAATTCAATTTCAGCAAATACCTTTTATCTTCATCTGTTTCCAATTGTACTTGATGGAATCCACAACGATATTGTAGCGAAAATTTTTCTTCAACCTTTATTGGTAATTTATGGTAGTTTCTAAATCCAGTTTGATTGAACACTTTGTCAAACAAATAATCCCAATCGATCTAAACAGACAGTTTTGTAAATTTTCAAAAAATATTTTCAACAAACAGTTCGATTTTGTCATTATGTTTGTGTTAATGAGAAAATTCGACAATCCACACCCACTAAGATGATGTAAAATATGTCTGATATTCGTAGAGCAGTATTACTGAGTTATTACTCGAGTCAGTAGAATAGTGAAATCGTCTACTTATCTAATATCCTAGAGTGTTACTAAACATTATGTTAGGTCCCACTGCTATCGATATTGAATTCTATCGATAAAGTTGCAATGCCACAACCAGTCTAGTGACTCGATAGCGTGTGCACCATATTGAGATGTAAGCTCGTTTGATGTTAGTTTAGAAAGTGTCTGAATCATGATTTAACAAGTATATGTTGGGTCGATATGGGAAACCATTTATATATCTCTACATCACAAAGATATTCAGTTTAATATGGTATCATCTAATAATCTATCAAAATTACTGGTTTCAACCTTTCGTCTCGTGGTATCTAAGAATCAACAGATTTTTATTTATATCTTTTTAATTTGTATGCAGTTTGAAAGGATATAAATGGATTTACCGGTGGACAAATGGCCTTTAATTCTTCAATGCTAACCGATTGGTTTGTTTTAAATGGTGTGGATGTTTGTGGATCCAAGAAAGCCTGAGAAACAAAACCGAAACAAAGAATAAATACATGGAAATAACCAAACCCTAATTTGTATATGATATGAAACAGATAATGTGTTTAATGTTGAAATTAGAATTTTGTAAAGCATGGAAACAATTTCCCAACTAATGAGCATTTTAAATATCTTGTTTAAAGGATATTAAATAACTTATAGTAGAGTCTATGATACACTGGTTGAATCTCCAACTGATTGTGATTATCGTGTAAGTAAGTTGAAATAGGTTTGCGCAACTAATGTTTGATTAATTCTGTCAGGAACATTTCAAGAGACTTCGGTTGGTATATAAAGAAACTGAATACGATATTTCAATATTTTTTTGCACGGATTCCATGGAGTGAGTTTCTCTTACATAAGTGATTTTATCGCACCAACTACGAATGGAATAACTTTCGGAAGATATTTTTCATTACTGTTATGAGAACCGACTAATGAACCGTTTGATTTGAAACGATGAAAACCTATCAAATGCATTTATCTGAACAATCAGTTTTATCGTCGTTTAGTATTACTTTCTTGTTACCAGATCGTTCACTGACCTGGCAATGTCAGATGAAACATAAATCCCAGAGTTTGGTGATCGCGTATATTCAGTAGTCAGTGTACTTTCAGGAGGATGTGGGGATAATTTACTGAACGGAATGACTACTGCTGATGAACAGTAGTAGATTTGAGGTCAGCATGGTATCTATTCACTCTTCAAGTAGTGTATACGTTTCGGTGTGCCAATATCAAACCTAATACCTTCAAGTTTCTGGGTGAGCAGATTATGTTCATATGAGTGAGTTGTGTCTACGGTTTCAACTTTCAAGAATTATTTACTGTCCCCTCATCATTTATTTTCATTGGTAACGACTATCTGATTGAGATAATACCACTTCCAGTTCGCCGTCACATATTGTGTTTAGTGAATAAAGGACTCAACTTGTCAACAACTGATATCTCTGTGTATTACAACTAGACATTCATGTGGAGTGTATAACTTAAATCATGTAATAGTCAACATCATTTATTAGAAAGTAAGTCACAACAAACATTAGGTAACTTACATTAACTAGACGGTCAAAAAACTGAAAAGCACCATGAAGTTTCGAATACTGTGACACTTTCATATTTAGTGAATCAGCTGATACATAAAGCATATCCTTCATGTTTGACACTCCATTCTATTTGAAGGAAGAAATGAAGTATATTTTGTTATGAAAAGATGATACAAAATTTAAATTATTGTGAATGTGATAACCAAGACATTATCAAACTTTGATGACACATCTATAATACACAACTGGTTTGTAATTTTTATCTTGACAGCTATAATTTCTAAATATGTCGACTATTGTACGTACATAACTGCCTAACAATTATACGTTTGAAATAAAGAATCGGTTCCATTTAAAGATTTCGGTCAGAGTGACCACATCTGTTTTTTCTGAATAAATGAACGTGTTATCAAATTCAATCTTGGTCATTCCTAAAATATTGATCACACAGAATACTTTGACTGAAATGACGTGAAATGATGTGAGATTTTGGATGTGACCTGGCTTTCGTTTTACCAAACATTCACTTTTTGTCTGTTTGTAATAACTAAGATCGTGTTAATTTAATTTAAGAATTATCACTCTCTGAAGAAGTGACTTACACAAAGTCGCAAATTGTCAGAAATTCAATTTTCTACTAAGTGTAAAATTACAAATATGCTATTTGGATATCGTAAAGTAATCTGTGTTACGATTTGTGGATTTCAGTAAACGGAAATATAGTACACTCAGATTATTGACATCCATCTAATGTCTCATGAATTTAACGAATAATACAATGGACAATAAATTATGTTCCATACCAGTAAATTTAACATTGAGAATGACTAATATAATCTGCAAATTACCTCCTTCCTCAAGAGACTTTGATCTGAAGTTAGCTGACCTGGAGAGATCTGATAGAAGTAAAATTATATTAGAATTCATGCAGATTGATAAGAATGAAACAATATAAGGAAAAGTCCGAATTTATCAACATTCAACATATTATGAAACAGATAAAGAAACCCGACTTCGTAAAATATTTGAAACGAGACTGGGAAGTGGGAGTATACAACATTATGGTTAGCATTTATCAAATAACAAAACCCACAGCCTAAAACACTCGAACGAATAACTGGTTCCCCAAATCGTTTACAGATATTTAGATGATATCTGAATTCTACCATATCCATATATATTTTGATAGTCGGGTAAAAAGTTACTGAATATTCGCATGAACTATTTATTTCTCAAACGTTTTGCTCTGTGGTATTTCCAAGTCATGGGAATTTCGAAATTGTCATATGTGAAATAGTGGTAAACCAAATAATGGTCAACTCGTTATTAGTATAAAGTGTATTCTTGGAAGATTTTGTGGTAGTAGGGAATGGAATTAAGGATCGATGCCATTGGATTGTTGATCCCTGTGAAGAATTTCTATTTAATGGTGTTGATCAAATGCACAATGAAGTAATCAATCAAACTGAACCGACATCTCGCACATTATGTATTAATATTATGTTGTTGGAAATGATCGGCATGATGCCGTATACCTTGAGTTAGTTGGCACATGTCAACAAGCCATTTTGGCTTTCATGATATCAGTGATTTTCCTTTTGATGTTCTGACCGGTATATTGTGACAAAATATTGTAATAATAAAGAACTCCAGATTCATAGTTCATGATTCGCTTACTTCAGTTATGTTTTATGATTTGAGGTCACATAATATGTATTATCAGGTTAATATAACATGATTTTTCATTTTAGTAATACAGACAAACTTATCACTGCTGGGAAACAATCAATGACAATCGAATTCTCAATATCCATTGAAGATTGATATATCTTTTTTAAATAATCACTTACCATTGGTTACAATACCCTCATATAGAGCACGCCTCGGGAAACTATTCTGATAATTTAGCACTCAGGTTTCTAGTTAATCAGACTATTTAGTTTAGTTTATGTGGATAATATATCGTAGTGTTGTTTCGCTTGTCCCTGTGACTTCATTCCATTACTGGTTGACTATTATGGCTAAATGATCGCATTGTCCATACTATTCAGTCGGAACAATATAAACAGTATGTATTTTATTGGATAGTTGGATGGTGTTTAATTGTGTCATTTTATAACACATGAACTGCTGTCCATATAAATTATGAATTCAACTTACTCGAATCGCTCGATCCTCTTCATCGATATCCAATGAAAATAAGGGTGAATGCCCTGTTGTGCTTATCAGTGGTAGGTATATATCAGTCAGACTCAAATTTAGAATATTTCTGGCAGCCTTAGATGTATTTGTCACATTTGTTGAAAGAGATGTCAATAAATCCCATTCACCGAATGCCATCGAAATTAACTGACGCAACTGATCTCTAACATGATCATTTGAATCATAAGGACCTTTTATACAAGCTTCGTAAAATTTGCGAGTAGTAGACAGGTGGGGATCATCCAAGGCATATGACTTGTTAGCTTGATTTGAAAAAGTCGATGTTTGTGAGAATTGTAATTGGGTAGTGAAGAGATCAAATAAATTTACAAATCATATGAACAGAGACAATTTGAAACATATTGCTCATGAAATAGGTACACGGAATATATCCACTAAGATTTAAGATGATGAAGATTGGTTAGACAAATTGTCTTCCATTCGGCAAATTCATTTTCGAAGCTGCGCAATCGCGAATGTGTACTCATTTTTCAAAATGGTGATAATTACAATAATAGTGATAATGAAATTATGTTAAACATGGTAACAGTGAGGTAGAATAAATGGCACTATCAAAACGTTATTCTTATCAGTGGAAACAGATAATAGTTTTATTGTTAATGGCTTGAATATTTATTAAGAAGATGAATGAGGAAATTGTAGTTGGGAAAGAAAGGATCAGCACGACAAGATAATACAGTTATTTATTCTGTCCCACTGGTACCATGTTTAACATAATTTTATAATAACTATCATTGTAATTATTATCATTTTGAAAAACGAGTACACAATTGCGACTGTGCAGCATTAAAAATGAATTTGCCGAAAACAAAACACATCGTTGAACCAATCTTCTAATATAGCCTAGTCATGTTCATAAATTGTACGCCTTACAATCCTAGTTATATTAAACTTATTCAAATAGTATTGAGTGAGAATTCCAGATCACATGCTGAAAGTAATCGTGCATGAGAAGCGATTTAGAGAACATATATGTAGTAGCTCGTTAGAAAGTGTATAGAGTTATTCAACTTGATCATGACTAGTTTTATTCGTCTGATTAATCACACTCTATTACAAATATTCGAATGAGGCATTCAGTAATCCCTGATTATCTGTTAACTTCTTCTTCAGTTGAAAAATCCTTCATTGCTCTTCAGGTGAATCTCAGCATCAGATACTACTTGAAGTGATTAGTTCCATTTTTATAGTCATTTCTTAATAAAATAATAGTAATATATATATATATATATATATATATATATATATATATATATAAACACAATCATATCATATTGTTGGCAATATGAAAATACTTGCCAATGATGTTATAGAAGTATTGGTCAGTGGCTATTCCGGCCTGTTTAAAAGTGTTAATCTCCCGTTTATTATTCGTTATTGGATTGTTTCTCTCCCACTCTGTGCATGCATAAAGATAAAATTTTTCACATGGATCCATAGTATGAAAACCGGTGGTTGCATTCTGACTTGAAGTCTGAGACAGTGCTATTCCTATGAGAAAACAAAATAACGTCTTAACAAAACACTAATTCAGATTGAATAGAAAGATTTACATTATTACATATTTACATATATAAACGTTAGTCTATCTACACACAAATTGAATTTATCACCTTAGCTCACAAAACAAGATCGGCGCAAATTATTCTGACAATAAGTATCAGTTCATGCTGTGTCAAGAAATTCAATTCACAATGGTTGGTATTATCCTGTTGTTGGTATCTCGACTAGAAGTTGGTCAGTGTTAGTTGGGATATGTGGATCCTGTTCTGAATACCTCAATACTTCACAGGTTTATAAAGAGAAGATGGATGCCACTGACAGCCTAATTGAGGACGCATGTTCTGAATCCTACTGATAGTCATAGTTCGTACTATCTAAAGAGATATATTTGTGACATTATACAGGTCATTTTGATCATTTGTATTAAAGTTCTTCAGGTAGTCATGTTTATTCTTCACCAGTTCCACTGAATTCGGAAATACAGATACAAAACCGTCAATGCAATGTGAAATAACAGTGAGTTATTTCTCCGTAATCCCATAACACTGACCGATCTCAATACTAAGAAAATTGAAGAAATTTGAAACATTTTGTGTTTAACCTCAAAGTCAGTGTTTTGATTTCTTTGTCTTGCGTACACGTGACACATCCTCTACGTTGACAGTCCATTATACAACTGCTATAGGCTGCTTAGAGAATTGGTTCATGTCTCGTGTTCCAAGTCACACTGTTTTCACAGTTTAAACTATATAAAGAGATATCTTTGTGACGAATTTAGTCATATTCGTGATCTTTATTTCAATCAGACATATAAGGATCATGAACATTTAGTGAAAAATTTAACATCTGCCAAATTGTAACCCACTGTCATTTATAATAACTGGAGACTTTATACATATTGCTCCAACGGAATCTAGGTCTATCTTCTCATCTTTAAACGAATTATAATTTTTAATACCATTAGTCCATTGTTGCATTACTAGAGACAATCTCATTTTTCGTTATCAACTAAGATACCACACATGATTTTCAAGTGACTGTATTCACCGAGGAGTTTACCGATTAACTATTCGATATCTCACTAACTACCTTCATGTCATCGAGGTGATTGTTGCAAAATGACATTGACTTAGGCGCTGATTTGACTGATATGAATACAAACTGTGAGGTATAAATTCATTTTAAACATCATTAGTGCACATATTTCATACAAATATGATAAATCTGTATCAAAAGACTAATATTTGAACGAAGAATTTAATTAATTTGGATATATAATTGTAGAACCTGAAGAGAATTTATCGAAAAGAATATTCTTCGTTCAAATATTAGTCTTTTAATATGATTGGGATTTTTAAACGATTAAAATCTGTATCATGCAAAATTTAGTTTTCTAACTGATCCCTATAACGAGTTACCTCACATAGAAATAAAATGAGTAGGTCAAGGTCTATAAACGATTTTGATAGTGGGCACACGTACCCAGGTTTATGTTGTGTGATTGCATTATGATTGTCAAACAATACAAGTTATATGAAATATCATCTACGATTATTTTGTTTGGAGAATACAAATTCAAAAAATCTTGTGTCATTCTACAAGTCCATTGTGTCTCTTTTCCACCTGTTTAATGCTGAAGTGCCTATCAACTCAGTGAATTACAAATCAGAAAGAAAACTACAAGTATAAGAAACCTCAATTGCAATGACTGGAGGATTATTCTATTCATAGAACAGACTATATAACGCCTAACAATTAGGCGAAATTAAAATTCACCGTACTGATGAAGATGATATGAAATTTAGATTTAGGAAATTTGTAAAAGAATTAAAGATGACACGACTTACCATGACAACAACTGAAGACAAAGTAGATCATCACTGAAATTGATGTGATTATTAAGACAAACTGGAATTGTTTAACTTTACCATATTGTATAGTGGTTTTCGCTGTAAAATATAGTTGATCAGTAGACATATTGTCTTGTATATAGTACTGTAGAATATTTTCTTCTGTTGACACGTGTTCTTCTTATTAAAAAAGGAACAACTGTCACGGAATATATACCAATTTACAAAATTGAATTTCATAAAACATTGGTTAATAATGATCATCATTATTATTAATTTTTGATAAGAATGGAGGAGATCTTATGAGGTCAAACGAAAGTGAAGTAAAGTTATGCAATGTAATTAGTTGTATTCTGGATTACACTTCTTAGAATCTAACGTAAGTTGAACTTATCATTCAGAAAACATTTATAAGCTTGTGTTAAATACAACTATTTCTCACCTAATATGGAAAAATATAATACTTAGTTTTATCATATGTTGACAAGACGGTTTGAAGAATTGTAGAAAAATGTTAGGTACCTTAGTTTTCTGTGTATACTATGCTGCTATCATACAACGGTTATAGTCACAAATATCGCCATGAATTAATTGTGCTTTACAAGGGTACGTTATTGCTAATTGTGTGTGACCAACGACAGAGATTTTTTTACCTAAGCAGCTGCTTAGAAATACCTGTAACTGATTGATGATAGTTGCAGGAGTTGTCCGAGTCTCAGCTCCATACGACAGAACTGTCTAGACGTTTGTATTGAAAACGCTGGGTTTATTGTTGTGTAATAGCTGTTTTAATTTCCAGATATTCTTCGATTTAGGGATTCCGTCCTTGCTTCACCAATCACCGCTTTCATTTCTCCATCAGATTGCGTTTGTTTGTCTACAATACTGATCAGGTACTATGTTGAAAACTATGCATGATACTGATAATGGTGTGGTGCCTCTGTCTACCGCATACTTGACGAGAACTCCTTACATTGGTATCATGGCGAGTTATCCTTCATTCCAGTCTGTAGGTGCTCATTTCAGCCATATGAGTTGGTAAACCTGATTTGCATATTTGGACACTCATTGATGAAGTGGCACAACTGAAGGAGCTAAGTAGTTGTTTTGGTCTTGATCTTATTTACTCCTCTTTCACATTCAATGTTTGTGGATCATTAATGAATCACATTGCAATGACTAATGACTAAATGTACCTTTTCATGTTGGTGATTTCTTTTCACTTTGGTCATAAAGATATTTCGGTGTCAGTAAACATGGAACTTTTGCGAAGTCATTTGTTTGGAATTCTTAAAATATTTGCAATTCGTCAGTTCCAAAGTTTTGAGATATGATATTTCAATCTCAACTGATAGCTAATGGAACTTAAACTGAAGTAAGAAATGTGTACATTAGTAAATGACTAAATCTCCGTCATAAATTTCGTCATCTATCCAATAAATACAATAAATATCAAGAACGCATGTGCTTCATCAAAGGAACCAAGTAAGAATGGAATGTTATCAAAAAGCTATATTTTCAGAGGTCGTTCGAGTCTCACTGTGTACTGACAACTGTCTTACCGCTTTTCTACAATATTATCAATAAGTATGTGGATTGCTGTAGCATCTATATATCTGTAGCATCTATCTATATATCTCAAAGTGAATTAAATTAGAAAGCTGTATTATTAACTTAAGTTTTTCATTTAGTATTTTAGTCAATGACATTAGTTGGACTGTTAGCATCTTTTCAATTGTTTAAAACATCAAATGCTCAAAAATTTTATGCTGAATAGAATCTCAAACATGTCAGTTATTTCTCAAAATTCACTGATTAGTAAGTAATTTTATGCATAATTTAATTTTACAGATGGTTTGTCTCAGTTTCATCACTTTCTGAGATCAGAATACAGTGAAGAGAATATTGAGTTTTGGTTAATTTGTGAACTGTATAAACATCTACCACAAGAAGATCTTGGTGAAGAATCACGAAGAATCTATCGTCTTTACTTAGCACCACATTCACCACATGAGGTAAATCATGAACTAAAATTAATTTTGCTATTTGTAATACATGAATATAAAAACACTTGTGTTTTATTACTGGTGAGTACGAAAAGTATCAATTGGATGTTGGTCGACTGGTCGAAAGAAAAACGTTTCCTGTTTCATAGTAACACAATGGGTTACTTTGGTTATTTTAGGTTGATTGATTTACGATATTTAGTCAGTGTACTTATTTTGTTTTAAAAGTCAAAATGTGTGTTTCATATGCTTTAAGGTCATAATAAAATAAGCTGGGAATGAAAACACTTTTATTTTCTTAATATTACTAAGCATTCGGTAATTGGTTGACTTTCTTGAACATTTCAAACAGCATAGTATTTGATTCATAATAAACTTGGTTTATTGAAATCCTCCAGCGTCTCTTTCTAATTTCCTCTTCATCCGGAAGCTCGTTCATTCTCTTCCATAGTAGGCTGTTGCGGATGGTATCCGGTCAACAGACATTGAGTATCTTGTGTAGACAATTGTTCATAACTACTTGTGCCATTTTGATGATGGTTATGGTAGTTCTCCAAGTTTCAGCTCCATACAGTAGAATTGTCTTGACGTTCGTATTGAAGATTCACAATTTGATGTTGGCTGACAGTTATTTTGAGTTCCATGTGTTCTTAGCTGTAGATATGCTGTCCTTGCTCTGTCAATCCTCACATTCACACCTGTATCCGATCCTCCTTGTTCATGGATGATGCTTCTCAAATACGTGAAAGTTTCCATCTGTTTCATACTTTCTCCACCAAGTGTAACTGGGTTGGTGTTCTCCGTGTTGTCTTTGAGGATCTTGCTTTTTCTCTTGTGTATGTTGAGACCTACTGATTCAGAGTGTTCAGAATGTTTTATAATGTAGCTTGATTGTGCTGTACTTTGACGAGAATATTTCTCAATAACCGTTTGAGTGAAATTTTAATTTGTCAACTGAACACACATTAGTTAAACAGTACATTGGTTAAACTATCATGGGTATACTACACAAAAGTGTAATATAAACTGAAAACCAGGTCAAAATATTCAGTCAGTGTAATTCAGAGTAACCTAATAGATAACAGAAAATTTAGTTGAATCTAATAATCAGTTTGATAAACTTATGATATTTCTTTCCTAATTAACTAACAATGATCACACCACAGTTTTACACTAATTAGTTAAAAAATTATGATTAAATATCATGTTGCTTAGTTATTAGGGCTGATCGAAGTCAGCGGGTGGGCATAGATATTATGGGACCATTAACAACAACAAAGAAAGGGAATCGCTACATACTGGTTATGGTAGATTACTTTACTAAATGGTGCGAAGCAGTACCCCTTCCCCAGCAAGACGCTCTTACGGTTGCCCGAGCTTTCATCGATCATTGGGTTTCCCGCTATGGCGCTCCCTTCTCACTTCATTCTGATCAAGGTCCAGCCTTTGAAAGTCGCCTCATCGCCGAGATATGCCAGCTTTTGGGAATCAGGAAGACACGAACCACTGCGTATCACCCAGAAGGTAACGGGCTTGTAGAAAGAACAAACAGAAGTATTAAAGCCATATTACAAGCGTTTGTTAGCAGATCGTCGCAGGAGTTATGGGATGATGTCCTTCCTCAGTGTCTTTTAGCATATCGTACATCGGTACATGGCTCCACCGGGTTTTCACCCGCTATTTTATTATTCGGACATGAATTACGTCTACCAGTGGAAAAGCAGACGCCCCTGCTGCCCTGCGAAGAACAAGAGCATGTACCATACATACGTACTCTCCGTAACCGCTTGGCTGATGCATACCGCTTGGTCAACAGCAATTTGCGCAAAGCTAGTGAACATCAAAAGGACTTGTACGATCGTCGGGTGCACGGACCAGTGTATAAGGTCGGTGATCGCGTTTGTCTACGTCGCCCCATGACATCGTCAGGGAGTTGCAGTAAATTTCACCAGCCATGGCAAGGCCCCTTTGAAATCGTCCTCATCCGATCCCCCACTACGTTCGTATTACGTAACTTGCAACGACCCCAGGATGACGTGATAACTGTACACTATAACCAAATAAAACCAGATAAGATGACAGTCTCCTCGGATGCTCAGTTCGCCAATCCACCGCCTGCCA